TAAAAAAAAAAAAAAAAAAAGTATTTGAAAAGTCCCAGTGAGGCAGTTCTCTTTGTGCAGTTCATGCGTTGTTAAAGCTGTTTTTTTCTATTGATCTTAGGTCTTTCTCTTATCCATACAATAATGTAAATGCTCAATAGCAAACATTCATAATGCCAGCTCTTCGCTATTCAGTCTGGCATTCAAAGACTTGATCATGCTGGTATAGTGATCTGAAAAACACAAGAGTTCAGCTGCTATTTGTCAATTATAAAACCTCCACAGATTTGACTGCTTTTAGCTATGTGACAGAAACATGTTTTGACTTACTAGATAGTATTGCTGGTCATATTTGCACTGCCAGGCCTCAGATTTTACAACTTGAGCTAGTGATAATAGCAAGTTATGACTGAAGTTCAAGTAACTCTTGAATTCCATGACAAAATAGAAGAAGTCAACCATTGTTTAGCAACAAGCAGGTGATGAAAGGAGAGGCTACTGAAATCAGAGTAGCTGGGTGGGGGTCAGGAGGATAGGCACAGTGTGGGCTGACATTATACTGCTAGTTCTTCTCCAGTGTTCAGGACTCGGCATCCCTGCCTGAAAAGCGGGTGTGAGTGAGCTAGGCTGTGACTTTTCAGTAAGGCTGTTTTGCACTGAGTTTAAAGGTTGCCCTCAAATACTCCACATGACAAAAGCTCCCCCTTCCCTAGCTGCATTCCCAACCTATTCTGCACAGAGGCATGACCAGAGAGACAAATAATGGGCAGGCTGATTCCTAGAAGGGTTCTTCTATTAGACCGGAAAAGGGAACTCAAGCAGAGCCATTCTCAGTACTTGTTGCTCCTTCTGTACTTAGGTCTCATAACCAGCAGTAGGGTCTAGAAATGGATCTTGCTACAGATTTCTTCTTTTTCCCACCTTACTTACCTTAGGTGGGTGCTGAACACTTGACACACAGTACTTCACCCCAGAAGTACTGTACAGGTTTCCCTCGCCAGCCACTGGGGTTAAGTTCCTGAAAGTTCCCGTGGTTAGCAAAACCGCAGTTGGCAAGACAAAGGACTTATGGGGAAAATGGCAGGTGGGGGGCTGATGCACAGCCATGGAAAACCGTGGTTACTCAAAACTGAATACCGTGGTAGCCAAAATAGTGTATAGAATATTGAGCGGGGATACTCAAAATCGTGGTTGGGGAGGGAAATCTGTATTACATAGTGCTAGCCAGAAAATGGATGTCCTCCCCTTCTTCCCCCCCCCCGAAAACTGGATAAAGAGCATTCAGGTTTTTATTTTTAAAGCTGTGACAGCCCCAAACCTGTATTTTTTTGTTTTATTTTGCTGGGGTTTTTTAGCTTTCAATTTGTCAATACAATCCTAAAAAGCAGTATTTTTCTAATGAAAATATGGCATGGTTCATCAGAGGCATAGATTAATTGAAAACTATTTCAATGTTTTCTTCATTAAAAAAGTAGTGTGGTCAATGTTTGATCAGGTCAATATGCAGCAGACCTTTCCAAGTGGGTGCACACCTGGGCCACACTCCACATGTACACTTGTTGCACATCTGAATATTACATATTGGAGGAAATGTTTTAGAGTCTTATCACGCACATTATTTAATATGTATACATGCGTTTATAGATTAAACTGGCTGTTCTCTACAGCTAATATTACTGCAATCCTGAGAATGTACAAAGCAATTTCTGCCTGGCGTTCTCTCATTTTCAAACAAATGTAAACAACGATATAAAAGGTTGATCATAAATGATGTCTGCGTTTGCATCTTTTAAAGTTCATTATTTTTATTCCCAAAGGTAGGGATTTTAGACTTGACTTTACCCTCCTAGGCTCTAGTAATATTAAAAGTTATGAAAAATTGTGATACCACTACATACAAAAAGGATAATATAGAAAATGGTTCTGTCAAATTTATCAAGAAATCTCTCTTGTGCACGTAATTATCAGGAAGAGTCGTATTCTCTTTCAGGTTATTATATCATGTTCTCCTTGCATTTTTTTTCCCCTATTACACAGGAATGGATCCTCTCATTACTTTTCCTTCTTTTGGTGTACCTAATAACATCGTACCATTATTCTCCTCCAATTGCTGAAATACCTCACACTTTCCTCGGACGCTTAGATGATCCTGCCTTCAGTGCTACTGGGGTTACAGTTGCCTATACCCCAGTGACAAACACTACAAGACAAATAATGAATAAGGTGGCATTTGACTCTGTCATGAAAGGTAAGTCATGTCTGTCAAGTTTTAAAACATGCCTGGCTAGTGCATAGAAGTCATCCTAATTTATCGATTATCACAGCTAGGTATGGAGGCATTATCCAGTACCTCTCATTTTCTTTTAGTGTAGTGTGACAAGTATAACGAAAGGGTAAGACTAAGCATAACCCAGTAGTATTGAAGTAAATGCCGGTTCATTCCTTTTAGGAAAGTTCATGAAATAATTAAGTTTCCTAAGTATATTCAGCAGCCTGATCATGAAAGAACTAGACTGATTCCCAGTACTTCTTAGTTTTAGACATTGCAGAAACTATTACTTCATCATTTGTTGAGTGGAAAGCAAAGGCATAGCCTGAGCCATAAAATCATGATCCTGGTCCAGATACCAAACACCCAACAGCTTGAATCCAGAGAGACAAGGACCACTAAAGAGGGAAGTTCAGACCTGGATCTGCATTTGGATCCCACATTGTCACCTGCAGACATTTATGGATACTGTTAGGATCCAGGGTTTATGTTCAGAGACTGTCTAGTGAAAAGTGCCTTCCGCCTGACTTCTGCAACATGGCTTACTACTAGGGCTGTGCGAAGCTTTGATCGCTGATTTGATTTGGTAGAGATTCAGCCCAATTCGGCGGCCAAATCCGAATCGAATCAGGAGACCCATTAATCTCTCTGAATCGAATTGGAAGCCTCTGAATTGATTCGAAGAGATTTAGAGAGAGATGATGATGTGGCCATAGACGCAGCTTTATATGTTTGTTCTACATACCTCAAGGCACTGGGCACGGCTTGTGAACGCTGCAATGCTGGGGCAGATGGAGCGTCCACAGGAGTGCAGGGGGGTCCTTCGCGTGCTTGGTGGCAGACCTGGAAGTAGACCAGAAGTACTTCCGGTCCACTTCTGGATCCATTACAGAGTGTGCAGGGGACCACCCCCCAGCCTCCTGGCTCAGCGACTGGTGCCTCCTGGGTCTGGAGGAGCACCCAGGGTCCCCCTGTGGCCAATCGCTGGGCCGGGGGACTGTGGGGGGAGTCCCCCGCATGCTCAGCGTTGGACCCAGAAGTGGACCAGAAGTACTTCCAGTCCACTTCCAGGTCTGCCACCGAGCACGTGGGGGACCCCCCTGCACTCCTGTGAGATGCTCCATCAGCCCCACCATCTCCGCATTCACGAGCTGGCCCTGGTACCTTGAGGTACATAGAAAAAACATATAAATCTGCATCTATGGCCAAATCACTGATTCTCTGAATCAGAATCGAATCTTCAGATTCAGCCGAATCAATTTGGGACAGTGATCCAAATCGGCAAATCAAATCACTATCCCCCAAATTGGGCCAAATCTGAATCGAATACTGCCCACTTCACATGCTCCTACTAGCTACCTGCCTTCACTAGTGAAAAGATGACTTTTACAGTAGAGAAGGCCATCCTCACAGCCAAATATTGCATTCACTATTGATCCTAGCAAGAATCTTATTAAACTCTTCCAAGCTGATTAAATCTAAGGTGACTTGAGATAGCCGCACACACAACTGAGCAGAAGACTTCATGAACACCATGAAGACTTCATTGAAGAGAGTCACACCACTGACAGAACCAGAAGATGTAGGAATTTCCAGAGCTTGCATTTCGAAGTCACTGATCAACATATTTGCTTTCTATAAACCACAGGTATAAAAACAGAAGCGGTAGAAGATGAAAAAGCCCTGGAAACAGCATGGACTAAGAATCAAAGCATTGTAGGGGTTGTATTTGAAGATGACTTTTCTTATCGCCTGAGGTTTGCTCCCAGATATGTGGTTATTCCAAATGAAAACTTGGGAGACGTAGGTAATTCTAATTGATATTCTTATTCAGAAAGGCAACTCATATGAATCAGCACAGCTCTGCTAGAGCAGATCTAGCCCTTATTCCCTATATGATCAAATATTTTTATCACCTAGAAATAACAACACATTCAAGCCTGTTTTACTTTGTTAACAACAAAAGCTATCTTGTAAAAGATTTGGTCTTCTGTTGACTTGAAATATTCACCCCGCTCGGTATGTTGCAGTCCATGTCAGTCTCTTTTTTTTTATGTCTCATTATATAGTTTCATGCATTAAAAATGGATGTAATGCCACATATGTTAATGTACCTGTTGTGCACTGTTTTTGTTCCCTGGTTTCTTGACAAATCTCAATCAAGCACATGAAACTAATGTCCAAAAAATTGCGTCCATGCTCTTGTGAGCAGCCACAGTGAAACAGAAAAATTTTAATCTAGAATAAAGATTGTATCAACTCCTAACCTTGACCAGTGGTTGCTTAGGACAGGGCACTTCAGGTGATATTCTGTGGAAGCATCTACATTTCCATAGGCATTGAGCCATACCGGTTTTGTTCCGGTTTGTTGTTGTTGTCATTAAATTAATGACAGCAGTCAAGCACATTTCATTGAAAAACTTCCAACTCAGATATTTAACGTGTCCTAAAGAATTGAAATATTGCTCAGATGTGTAGCATAGGAAGTATCACAGTATCCCGTGTCACTGAAGAACGTGGGAGATTGGCCATAGTGCATCTCAAAATATAATAGGAGCAGTAAAGTGGGGAAAGGGATTTGCTGCCAGGCACATCCACTGCAATGGAGATTATTGCATATAGTTAGTGCAACTGATCTTTCATCTTGGCTGCAGATTCCTGTTACAATGCTTCTGCAAGTTACTGTGAAAGCCCAAGATACTGGTACAACGGATTTGTGTCTTTGCAATCCAGCATTGATGCCGCCATCATAGAAGTAAGTGCAACTCCTGAGGTGACATTGTTGTCTGTTTTCCAGAAAGTGAATTTTTCACCATGAGAATCATGGCGAGCCCATTCCCGCTGGTCCTGATCACTACGTGAATTAAACTAGCAAAGGAAATAAGGAGAAAAGGAAAGACTGAAACATTTCTCGGTGTATATGCTAGCTAGCCATCGATGACTATTCTGTGAGCATCATAATAGCATTGAGTTTTAAAGAGAGTTTGGAAGCGATGGCGTTCAAGGGTTTTGTTGATTTCTTGTAGTGTCTTTCAAGAGTGATGGGGGGCAGATGAGAAAGGGCAAAGGTGCTTGAGGAAGAACTGAAGTCCTGAGCTCTCATGTACCCTAGCATGTACCCTACCTGCCTTAGGCTCTATATTGACCCCACATTTTGTGAAGTCTGGGTCAAAATAACTCGGTAGTGGATTCCTGGCTTCTACACTGGTTTGTCACTGTGGCTCTTCCAGTGCACCCCATGAGACTTCACTACTAAGAGAGGATAGTAAGACAACCCACAGATATTTGCAGGGACACTGGACAGTCTTTCCAAAACAAGACACTATTGATTAGTCAACTCAGTTTCAATCCATAGAGTCCTTGCAAAATCTATATGCAATTCTCTTACCTAATTTGTGAGCTTTTGCTTTGTCAGTGAAGCAAAGTCCTCTTGGCTCTGGTCTTGGAAACTGATCTTGACGGTACCATTTTGTATGCACTTGCTGGGGAAGACTGAAGTTTTCCAGGCCAGGAAGGAAGTTACAGCAGTAAAAGTATGAGGAGTTTGCTGTCACATCAACTGTCCCTATCAATATTCAGTGGCATATGAAACTCATCTTGCTGTCCAAAAGTTAACCTGCATTAGCTAACTTTGCTAACTTTAATCCTTTTCAGGGCACAACAAGTCATTCTGTCTGGGAAGAAATGAAATCCATTGCTGGTGTCCGTATGAGATCATTAAACATCATGCCTACAATAACAGTGGAGTATTCATTTATCTTGATTACTCTTGTAATGTGTTTCTCTCCCTTTATGCACTTTTTGGCACTAAATATGACAAGTGAAAAAAGAAAGCACAAGGAATTGATGAAGATGATGGGGCTGCAGGACTCGGCATTCTGGTGAGTTGTTGAAGTAGCTAAAATGTGTGTGCTTGCAACAGTAAGTACGTGTTTGCCAAAAGGAACGTATTCTCAATGAATGCAATGAACTGCTAGCTTCACTCCCTCCTGGGAACAAGAGGGACTGAAAAAAGCAACCAGACAGCAACTACAGGTGGAAATTAGGCCTGTGTGAAGCGGCTAGTATTCGCTTTGGATTCGGACTTGGCCAATTCAGGGAATAGTGTTTCGATTTGGTGATTCGAATCACTGTCCCGATTCAATTGGGTCAAATCTAATTTGGAGATTCGGCTCCAGGCCCATCCCGCACCCTCTCTCCCAGCCTGACAATGGCTGCCCTGCCTGCCCCAGCTCCCAGCACTTGTTAAAAAATAGCCCCGACTCAGCAGGCGCTGCTGGGGGGGTGGGGGGAACCACTGCCCCATGCTGCATGGGGGGCTCTGCAAGAGCCCCCCCCTCCCCTTGCTCCCCCAGCCTTCCCACAGGAGCCCTGCCCAGGCCAGCTCCAGCCCTTTAAGAAAACAAAACCTGAGAAAAGCCCTGCACTCACCGCTCCCAGCTGCCCCACACCATGGGGGGGGGCTCTGCATGAGCCCCTGAAGCCCTGAGGCCACTG